CGCGCCCGCCCGCCTTGGCCAGTCCCTGCGTCAGACTCCACGACCTGACCGCCGTGACCCAACCTGTGTCACAGGGCACACGGGGCTCTGGGCAGCTTCCGGCTCCCAGTCCTGCCTGGGCACCACCCAGCCACGGGGGTACGGGTCCCCATCTGGACAACGGGCCCAGCAGTGCCTTCCTCAGAGCCACGGCGAGGACTGCGGATCGGGTGCGCCCTGGCACAGGAGTGCTCGGCTCGGAGGGGCCTGCAGGGCGGCCACCCTGCCCAGTGACTCATGGCTCCTTTTCTACACTGTTTTCCCTAGCAAGGACACCCTCGGTTGTCAAGGGGACCCTGTGCCAGGGCCATCGGGGGGCACGGGTGGTGGGCAGAGCCGTGTGCCACACGTCCTGCTCGGTGGCCAGGTGTGGTGAGGTGGTGAGCTCAGCTCCGCCCTGGCTGGGCAGCCATGCTAGCCGAGGGCCCCCGGGGGAGTTTCTGGCTCGCCCCCTGCCCTGGATCCACCTGCACAGGGAGAGCCACTGGCCTGCCAGGGCTCTGCTGCATCTCCCCCTCACACCGTGCCCGCCAGGCGAGCTTTCTTGGCCCAGATGAGCTCGTGTTTCTGGGGCCGCCCACACTCCTGCAGGGTTCCCTTCCACGGTCCTGTCCATCGAGGTGGCCGTGGCACGGCGTACCCCCGGACCACTCGTCGGGGAGCTGTGGGGCAGCAGGCGGGGCGTACCCTGGACCGGCTGTGGAGGGAGCAGAGGCCCCGAGCCGTGCCACCCCGACAGGCCTGGCACGGTGAGCACAGCTGAGCCGGAGGCTGCGGGAGCTCCCAAGTGGCAGAGCTTGTCTAAAACGCGGACACGGCCCTCGGTGACCTCTCTAGTAACGTGAAAAGAGCACGTTCAGAGGGCTGAGCCCACGCCGTGTCCTCGCCGAGTCTGGGAGTTAAATCGGACCGACCGTGGGTCTCTGAGACGGGCGGCTGACAACCCCGAGGAGCCTTGCTGGGTTACCCCGCGTCTCACCTCCACGTCTCACTGCTACGGTACTGAGGTGTGCTGCTGACGTCGAAAACAGACGAAAATAGCAGTTGTCAGCACAGTGCAGGAAAGCCCGCCCCGCCTGCGGACCCCCGGCCCTGGGCAGCTACCACACGCCGACTACACTGCGGGAGGCGCCTCGGCCGGCACTTCGGGTCCAGCCCGGCCTCCCCGCACGGCCACTCTGCTGCTGGGCCGCAGACACTGGCCTGATGCCCTGCTCCGTTCCCTCTGCCGTTCCCTCTGTGCAAGGGACGTCCTCTGCTCGCAGCACCCAAAGGCTGCCGGGCCGCAGCCTGGAGGTCGCAATGCTCACACCCTCCTCGGCTGGGATCTGGCTCGGCCTCGGCATCGAACGCTCAGGTATCTGCAGGATGGAGCTGCAGTGGAGCCTGGTGACTGCGGGCCTGGCTCAGACCCAGCTCTCGTCCGCCTCAGACGACCTCGCTGGCTAGGGGAGATGACCCTCAGGGTAGCTCTTAGTGTGCCCACGACTCAGGTGGGGAACAGGCCCAGCGAGGATGTGGGAGGAGCCCCAAGCCAGGATGGCTTCGCGCAGGTGCACGTTGGGGTCAGTTGGGCAGAGTGGCGGCGGGGCCAGTACGTGGTGGTCGTCCCGGCCTGGGCATCTGCTGGCCTGGCAGGCGCTCTGGGACAGCCTCAGGCTCTACATGACACCACGTCTCGAAGCTGACCGGGCCGCCTTCACGGCTGCCTGCCGTGGCTCTCACGCTGGCCCTCTCGGACCTACATGCAGCCGGCTCCTGACACGGCTTCCAGATGGAACCTTGCTCGGTGCTTTCTGTTTGAAAATTAATATTCAACCCTCATAGATGAGAAAACTTCAAGGAAAGATCTATGCTTTGACTCTCCAAAACACTTTTCACTTTGCTGTAGTGTGCGTGTGCTCACCAGAGAGCGAGGGTCACAGTGGGAGGTCACCCCAGGCGATGGCCACATGCAGTCCCTTCTCCATTCTTCTCTTGAAGCTCCGGCACACGCACACACCTGCCCAGCTTTCCAGTCCACCTGGCCGGGCCTTGAATGGTGCTGTCAGCCGTGTGGGATCCAGCTACCGTCACCACCACGCCACCTCCTCCTGCAGATCTGCTTCTTCGGACTGACGCTCCATGGCCGGCAAGCACAGCTGTGTTGGTCGCATGGAGGAAGCAGCCGACAGGAAGCGGCCCCTCAGGGAGCACCCGGCCACAGGTCGGCCTGACACACAAAGACCCAGCCAGCGTCTGCCTTCTGCCCAGCCTTCCCTACGCTGTGTGGGGCTTTTCGTTTCTGTTTTTCTTCCTGGACAGAGAGACATTTGGCCAAGACGGGGTCATTTTGAACAGAGCAAGAAGAATTTTTAAACGCAGCAAAGTTACTGGAAAAAATGGACTTCCGTGGCTCCCCCTGGGGATTCGCTTCATAACAACGATCTCACGATGTATGCTGTGTCCACATCCCTGTGAAATTGGGTCTCTCCAAGCATGGAGAAACATGCAGGCACTCAGGGCTCACTCTGGGCTCAGCTGCAGGGGGCCAGGCAGGCAGAGGCGGGCAGCTCGGGGCCGTCCTCCCAGATCACCCTCGTGGGGAGCGACCAAGAGGGCTTCAGGCACACCGGCCAGGTCCTGGGACGCTCGGCGGCCTCCCCCAGGCTTGTACGACCCGGCCTGCCCGCCTTTGTGATGACCCATGACAGGTGCTGCAGGACTTCGCTGTCCTCGGTCACCCTGAGGATGCGCAGTTCGTGCGAGGGCTCTCAGAGGCCCGGGAGGGTCCAGGTCCCTTTCACGTAAAAACTAACCTAACGAGGGTTATACGATTATGCTGCGTTTTCCTTGTTTATGTTCATCTAAAGAGGGTTTGAGTGCACCAAGGTAACGTGTATGTGCAATGTAATGTCACAGCACAGTGTCAGGAGATGGGGCAGGGAGGCCAGGAGGGTGTACCAGCGCTCCTGCTCCGTAAGGCCCCCAGGAAGCGCAGCTGGCAACGGGGCCTTGGCGTGTACCTGGGTGACAAGTGTCTTAATTCTCGAGTCCCTAAAACTGTGTCCAAAACGTCTTTAGAGGATGGCCTGCAGTCTAAGCAGGGGACTGCTCCAGGCTAGGGACTGGGACCCGCAGGCGGCCACGTGGGAGCCACCGCCTTGGCTACCACACTGCGCTGTCCCAACGGCGGCTCTGGGAAGACAGGCCCCTCTGCTGACCGGCTCCTCTCCCGCAGGGGTCTCCTTGTCTTTCTTCTGGAAGACACAGGGGGAGCAGTCCAGGCTGGTCCCCTCCGCTGGGCAGGTCATCTCCAACGGGTTCCGAGTGTGCTCCAGCGGCGGCAAAGGCTCCGTGGAGCTGTACACGCGTGACGACGCCATGACGTGGGAGGCCACCTTCAGTCCACCGGGTGAGTGGCAGCAGTGACCAGGGACTTGCAGGGAGTGGGGGGCTCTCCCGAGAGGCCATGTGGGGTGGACTGCCCACACAACAGGCGCCCCTCAGGGAAGGCAGAGCACGGCGTGAACCTTCGCCCCGGCCTGTCCGGGGTGGTGGATGCTTATCATTTTACAAGAGGGCGTTTAGAGCAGTTTCGGGGTCACAGCGCAGTTGGGTGCGGTGTGGAAAGAGTCTCCACACTCAGGCCACCGTGCCAGGCTCAGGCCCCTGCAGTCAGCACCCCGTTGGGGTGGCACGTCCGTGACAGTCCACAGCCCGACGTGACACAGCACTCACCCAAGTCCCTCGTTCACCTTGGCGTTCTTGGTGTGTACGCTCTGCGGGTGGCGGCGAGGTGGCGTTTCCGATCTCGCGGCCACCTTCCAACTGGGCTCCTCGCCTGCTGGCTGCTGACTTTTAAGCCTGCTGCCTGTCGTGGGTAACTCCCCGGCCTGCCCCTCTGCAAACGTCTGCTCCCAGGCTGTGGCCGTCTGCATCCTCCTTGTGACATCTTTCATGGAGCAGGCGTTTCTCGTTTCAGCGACGTCCGGCTCGCCAGCGACCTTCCACGGACGCGGCGTTGGTGCCATCATGAGACCCAGCCACGGGGTCCTCCCCTCTAGCATTCTGCATTTAGGTCTCTGCTTGATTCTGAATTAGCCTTGTGGGGGCACGATGTGCCTTCGGTGCATCTCCCCCGCACGTCCGGCCGCCCAGCACCACTGTGGGAAGCAGCCTTCCCCTGCTGGCCGCACTCTCCTCGCCGTGTCTGGGCTGTCTGCTCGGGCCTACTGACCTACTCAGCTGTTTCTTCCCCAATGCCACACTTTTTTTTCTTTTTCGTTTGCTATAGGGCATATGCACTTGCCAGAGAGAAACAGAGAAAGAGGGAAAGTGAGAAGCCACCCCAGAGGAGGGCCACAGCAGTCCCTTCTCCTCCACTCCTCTCAGAATTTTGGGCATACACGTACATGCCCACATACTTGTGGCGTTCTTCAAGCCTCTGGTCCGTGACCTGAACTGCATAGTCATCCATGTGGGATCCAGTGCCTTAACTTCTTTTTTTAAAAAAGTTTTTGCTATAGGGTGTGTGTGCTTGCTAGAAAGACAGAGAGACAGACAGTGAGAAATCACCCCCCAGGGAGGATGGCCACGCTGCAATCCCCTCTCTTCCATCCTCAGGACCTTGGGCATGCATGCATACACGCCTGGTGTGAGTTTAAGCCACCAGGTCCAGGACTTGAACCACGGTTGACTAGGTGGGAGTCTGGTGACGTAACCATTATGCCAAGTGCTGGTCTCACCAGTGCCTTAACTTCTGTGCTGCCGGCTGGCCCCACACTGTCTGATTACTGTAACTATAGTGAGTCTCAAAGTCAGGGAGCGTCAGTCCTCCAACTGTGTGTCACCGTCCATGTTGTGTTGCTTTTTTGAGGTCTTTTGCCTCTCCCATCCACTTGAGAATCAGCTGATCAGTGTTCACAGAGTGACTTTGCTGGGCTTTTGTTTGGTATTGTGTTGGCTATATGAATTTTGGAAGAACTGATATCTTGACAACATTCAGCCTCCCTATCCATGAACATGGAATACTTCTCCATTTTGGTAGTTCCTGTTTAATTTCTTTCATTGGAATTTCATACTTTTCCTCATATAGGTCTTACACAGATTTAAACAAGATTTATACCTGTTTTCCTCTCTGATACATGTTTTTAATGTCAAATGTCCCTTGTTCATTTCTGGCACATAGAGGAATGACTTTGTATGCTAGCTTTATACCCAACCATCTGGCCACAGCTTGTACTTGTCTCAGGTCCTCACTGCTGTTGATTCACTCATGCCATCTGTAAACAAAAGTGGTTCGATCACATCTTCCTGGATACATATACTCTCTATGCCCTTTTACGTGAATATTTGCCTTACTGCACCAGCCAGGGCTTCCGATGTGAAGATGACAGGTGTGGCAAGAGGAATCATCCCAGTGTTGCTGCCGTGTCGGTCCTGGCCTGGGTTTATGTGTAGGGTCTGACAGGTGACCGGCCTCTGCCTCTCCCCAGTCTTTCATCGTGTTGCGCACAGGCATCTAAATTCGAGACCCCCATGCTAGAATGAACACGGGGTCTCCTGGAACTGCTTTGGGGTTTCGGAGAGGGACGGAAAGGCCAGCTCTCCCGTGCTCCAGGGGTGGAGGGGAGTCGGGTCTGCTGTGACCTATGTCAGGGCTCACCACAGTGGCAGGGACCTCAGGAGAGGAGTGTGCCCGACCCAGAGATGCTGGGGCAGCTTGCTCCCTGCGCTCAGAGTGGCGTCTGCTCTGCCTTTTCCAGGCCCCTACTGGACTCACGTCCTATTCACGTGGAAATCCAACGAGGGTCTGAAAGTCTATGTCAACGGGACACTGAGCACCTCCGACCCGCGCGGCAAAGTGTCCCACACCTATGGGGACCCCAACGCCAACCTCGTGATTGGGACCGAGCAGGACCAGGCCAGGCGCTACGAGAATGGAGCTTTTGACGAGTTCGTCATCTGGGAGCGGGCCTTGACCCCGGACGAGGTCGCCATGTACTTCACAGCTGCCGTGGGTCAGTGAGTGTGAGGGCTGTGGCCAGGTCGGGTCTGTGCCTGGGGGAGCCCGTGGGGTGGGGGCAGCTCTCCCAAAACATCCCTCCTTCTGCGGCACCGGCCACCCAACCCTGCCCAGACCCCAGGGGCTGCCCCTCCAGGAGCCAGCCAGGGAGACCCTGCATTTCTTCAGGTTGCCTCAAGCACCCTTAAAAGAATTTCCAGAGAGGAATCTAACCTTGCAGCTTAAGTCGTATTCTCACCGGGGAGTAGCAAGATTAGGGCTGCCAGGACAGGGCAGGGGTTGGCGGACGGAGCTTGATCCCGAACCAGCTCCCCCCGCCACTGGCCAGCCGGAAGGGCTGCACCCAGTGGGCGGG